CACATGCCCAGGTTGCAGGCTCCATCCCCAGTGTGGGGTGTGCAGGAGGCAGCTGATCAATGATTCTCATCATTGATGTTTCTAACTCTCTTTTCCTCTCCCTTCCACTCTGAAGTTAATTAAAAAAAAAAAGAAAAGAATGATTTCTATATAAAAAGGTGAGTGGGTTGGGGGAGGTGACAGAAAGCTGAGGAGACGGCATGGGCAAAACCACGGAGTGAGCGTGGGAGAACAGGAAACACTTCCAGGAATATCGAGGAAAACTGGCCTCGGGGCCCGAGTCAAAGGCGCTGAAATGCTGCGCCCTGAAAAGTGGCATGAGCAGACTTCTGCATCTGCTCCAGAGAAACCTGCCAGGAGGTGACTACTGCGATGCCCAGGAGAACGTCACGTGCCCCTGCGAGAATGCGGGAGGAATTCCTGCCAACAGTTTTTAAGCTCAGCAACAGCAGAGCAAACACAAAGCCACGAAATGTGTGTAAGCTTATTTCAATGATATGGGGATATGACACATAATCGCCCTGTGAAGTAGAGGGGTGGTTTACAAAGGATACATGTTCATTGATTGGAGAGGACAGATCAGACAGCTTTTTATGAAGTTAAAAAAAGTCACAGAGGAATAAAAAGGTGTGGGAGAGAAAGACAGAGGGAAAGAACCTTGAGGACTGTTCGATCCAGCTGTGAACCCACAAGGCACAGCCAGGAGGTTCAAACAACCCGCTGCTTTCTGGCTACTTGTGTGACTTCTTTAAATGTCCACAAACACCAAACCAGCCTAACTCATTCTCTCCCCGCTAGTTGGCCCTAACCCCAAAATACTGGGAGTCAGTGACTCAATCATTTATTTTCCATTTTGTTCTTATGTTAAAATTACTCTGGCAGAGTGCCCTCCCCAGGGCATCTACTAAATACCTGATGGTAGCTCATGAAGATTTGGATGAACGGTTGCTGATCCAAGGAGAAGACAAACTATGGTTCCTTGGTTTACGTCTATTAGTTCCCTCTTGAATATATTATTTTTCCTTCCCTCTACAGAGAAATACTTCTTTGTCACACAAGATGAGTCATTTCTGCAGTTTTAATTCTCCCCCCAGGAGTCTTACAATAATACCAAAACCAACTCACTGAAACAATAGTGCCCTTTGCAGGCAAGAACTATAATTAAACCATTCCAATATAATCACTAACTTATGTGGGGTTCACTGACTTTCAGAGTGAAGAGCACTCTAAACTTCTTCTTCTCCAGGGTTAGAGAACCCAAGAACAAGAGGAGGAGCCAAACGAAGTCTAAGATGCAAGATACCAGCAAGAAAACGGTAAGACCAAAGTTACATGCCCAATACTGTGAATTACACTGAACTCAGTAAGTAGCTGTGGGCCTGTTAGGTACCTGGCACTGTTTTTAGGTGTGTGGGATGCATCACTAACAAAAACAAAGACCCAGCTTTCACTCGGGAGAGGGGAGGAGGGAGCAGAATTTGGAAAAGACAGACAATAAACAATAGACATATGAAGTAAACGATATATTATACAGTGAGAAGATGATAAGTGTTACAGAAAAAGAAAAAAGTAGACACAACACGGGCCAGTAATGGAGGGGACTTGGGGGATGGTTACCATTTGAAATTGGTGATCAGGGGAGGCCTCCATTGGATGTGCAAAGATGTGCGCTGGGCGGGGAGCAGCCACCTGGGGGTCACGGGATCCCTTCACAAGCTGCTCTGCCTCCTGCTGACTTGGCTTTCCCCCAGTTTTAGAAGTGGAATATTGATTCTCCTCAAATAACGGGGTTATTTACATCGAGATAGTGATTATTACTTTAAGTAACATTTTAGTCATTTAGAGTAATGTTGAAGGCAATGGAGGGAAGGGCAAGGAGAATGGTATTGCATTTATATATTTTAAAAAAACTTTCTAAAAGAAAATTATCTTCCAGGCACTATTTCCCATGTGGAAATAAAGCTAATATTTTCTACACTCCACCTGGGACATAAAAACAACCAATGTAAAAATCTTACAATGTAAAAATCTTACTGTGTAAGTACCTATTTATTCACAGTGTTACTGCATCATCTATTGTTTTGTCTTCTTTTCTAACTTCCTTCTATACATCATCCAAGCTGATGTGATCTGTTTCATAGAACATGGGATCCTGAAAGGCAAGAACTATCTACCTGACTATTTTTATTTTATTTTAAAGAGAGAAACATCGATCAGCTGCCTCCTGCACACCCCCCACCGGGGATGTGCCCGCAACCAAGGCACATGCCCTTGACGGGAATCGAACCTGGGACCCTCCAGTCCGCAGTCCGACGCTCCATCCACTGAGCCAAACCGGTCAGGGCAACCTGACTATTTTTAAATGTCTGCAAGATGTCATACATAGGCTGATACGTGACAAATACTAGTCATTCACAACCAGAGGTATCTCTTTTTTCTTATAACATGAACCTACTTTCCTTTTTAACTCGAATGCCTCAAAGCATTTAACAAACGATTCACACATATTCTAAGCGCCATCAGGGGGAGACTAGCAGTGCGGGGTGATGCAGCCAGATGCAAAAGCTGGAAAGAGGCTTTGGGAAAAAAAAAAGTAGGCTTTGGAAAGAGCCTACCTGGGTCGCAGGACTCAGCCTGACCCTGTGTCAGCTGTGCACCTTTGGGTAAGTCACTTGACATCTCCAAATTGCGTTACTTCACCTGGGAAAACTGGAAAAATCATACCTGTCCCCACGGTTTTGTGTAAATGAGCTAATGGATGCAAAAGAACCTGGCACAGTGCCTGACCCATAAAAGGCATTCAATACGTTACTTTTCTCTTCGCCAAATCTCCTCCACCCCCTCCATCCCCAACACACCCCTACACCCCCCGACACACTTCATCAGTGAGTAAATAAACGTCTTGCTTTAAACTACAAGCAGTGCGTTAGAGAGAGCCAAGTTCTCCTCACTCCATCCCCCTGGCCCTGGCAGCCTCTCGGCGGTGGAATCCCTGGTTATTTCCTTTCTCAAGGAGGAGACACTATTCTGGTTTGACAGATCCTTTCCTGGACACACTCGCAGAATTCCCTAAGGTTCTTATCGTGGCTAATGGATAACAATGCAGAGACTATGGGAGTGAGTAATCACTCTCTCCTGGCTAAAAACTTCCTTTATTGACTTCTCGAACTTCCCGTCAGCGTTTTGCTGCCAAGTCACCCTCTTGTTCTAGGCAACTATTAAAAGTAATTCTCGTGAAGCTGAAAAACACATTTAGCCTCCGACAATATATCACACGAACCTCAATTACTAGCCACTTACACGAGCAGACTATTAGGACATTAGACTATTAGAATATTTGTAAAATTAAATTGTTTACATGCCTATTTCCTTTCTTAACCCTTACTTACAATAAGAACAGGAGTGAAGAAAGTTATCTTTCCATTGTGCTTTACACAAGATAATGTAGAGCAGTGGTTCTCAACCTTCTGGCCCTTTAAATACAGTTCCTCATGTTGTGACCCAACCATAAAATTATTTTCGTTGCTACTTCATAACTGTAATGTTGCTACTGTTATGAATCGTAATGTAAATATCTGATATGCAGGATGGTCTTAGGCGACCCCTGTGAAAGGGTCGTTTGACCGCTAAAGGGGTCATGACCCACAGGTTGAGAACCGCTGATGTAGAGGATAGTAGTATTATATGTCAATAAAGGTTTATTTAGTGTCTGCAATGACAGCATTGCCTATTCTTCATTGAAAGAGAAAGTGAAAGCAAGGCAATAGCAGCTTACTCTAGGGGCTTACAGTGAAATAGTAAAAGTTTGCTATCACGTTGCCGTGTCTTATATCACTATATCCCATGCACACAGCACAGTGCCTTGAATGTAGCTGGCGGCCAATACATTTTTACTGAGTGAAATGAGTAAGTTACCATTTGATTTTATTGTGTGGACCAACATATGACCTTTCATCCCCCGAAGATAAAACACACAATCCCATTACATGGGAATTGTGCCCTCAGCACCGGAATCTAAGACCCCCCATTCCCCAAGAGTAGTGAGACCAACTTCTTCTTGAGGCAATTCTGCTTACTTTGCACATTATTCTCCCCTACAGTTTTCCTTCTTTTGTTTTTTGTCCTGAGGATATGTGTATAAAAACAGAATCGTTGTTGCTTAGTAATTCATCTGCTCCAGCTGCGTGTGTTCTGTTCCCAATCAAGATTCTCGGTTTTCAGCCTCCTCATCATTTTCATAAGGAGTTTAGTGAATTGGCCAGCTCGCTGCTTTCTCCACCTCTGCGGAACGCTGGGCCCCACGCTCCCATGCATTGCTCCTCTTTCTGTTTCTAGCTTGAGGTTATGCATGATTGTGTCACATATAATCTGTCCGCGCTCATCATGAAGTGCTCGTTGATGAACAGAGCACCACACCACACCCCACCCCAGTTCCCAAACTCTCTAGCTTCGAGTCAGGGCAGGGTTACCCCACAGTCAGAGAGGGGGAGAGGGTTCTGAGGGCCAGAAGCCAGGGAAAGCCACAAAAGCGTAGGTGGGAACACTTAAGGAGATGGGAAAATATTTTTTTTAGAGGTAAAAGCAAATAGGAAACTTGATCACCTATTATGGTTAATTCCGTTTAAAGCACTTCATTAATCACACCTATTTTTCAATGTCTAATTCTCTTGTGTGTCTCTCCATTCCGTAGACTTGTCTATATCTTTCCCACAGCTGTTTCTCTCATTTCTTACTGTTTCTCCAAAAAGGACAATAAACAGCTTCCTAGCCACATATCATCATAAACCCTGACATGTTAGATTACCCCCTGCTCAGTTTATACATCACATGGGGCCCATAAAAACTCCTCCCTCACCAGTAACCCACCTCACACCAAATTTTCACTTCCCCTTTTCCCTGCTGGGAAGGACACTTCCTACAGGAGCGACCCAGCCACACCCACCACCCCCTTCTGTGCACAGGTGCATCTCCCAGTCCCAGGACACCAGGGGACTCCTCACCTGGAAGGCAGTTGCACTCAAAAGTGAAGTCGCCGGTCTGCCGGCAGGTGCCTCCATTGACACAGGGCGAGGGTGCACATGGCACGTAAGGGCTGTCGCAGTGCTGGCCGGTGAAGCCCTGGGGGCACTGGCACTGATAGGAGCCTGGGAGGTTGAGGCAGGTGCCACCATGCTGGCATTGTCCTGGAATGTCACACTCATTGATGTCAGTCTCACATTTCTGCCCTGTGAAGCCTGGCAGGCATTTGCAGGAGAACTGGTTGGCCACGGTGGTACAGGTGCTTCCATTTGCACAGGGATGAGACAGGCAGGCATCCGTCCATTGGCACAGCTTACCTGGAAGAAGGGGAACAGAGCTCAGTACTGCCCACGGGAATGGGGGTCGGCCCCATCCTCCACACACCACACCTTCCACCCAATAGGTGACACCAGGGGGTTACTGCATAGAGAATCCCTCAGCTCTTTGAATGAATAAAATGTATTGATATCTTCCACAATCTATAATTTCTAAATAGACCTCTTGGAGGAGATAAACAAGTCAATAGTACTTCTTTTTCCTTTAAACACAACACACATGCACACATGTTCTGGGCAACATTTTACTAAAGTGGTCTGGCTGTCAATGTTGCTTGATGTGTTTGAAGAGGATGAAGAATCTCTGACTCCTTGTATATGAAAACTAGACAAAGCTAGAAGCTGTCATGAGACTAGAGTCTAGAAAGGTAACTCCTGTGCACTCTCTCAGGTAGGAAAGCCCAGGAGAAGCAAGGAAGGCTCCCGCGTGCTGGACACTAAGGCATGACTCCAAGGAAGCAAAGCAGAGAGAGGTAGAAAGAGGAAAAAACACGCCCATCTACTAATAAATTTGGTATTCATGTGGCTTTTTGTTGTCATTAGCTTAAGCTTTTTAAAAAAAACACACACAAAAGATGTGAGAACCCCTTGAATTTGTAACACTCCAAGTGGTTGTCAAAGTAAACATCCAAGTCTTTGACCCCCACAGGGAAGCAAATGGGGTCATACAGCTTTTCTAAAATAGAGAGGTGACACGTGAGCACACAGAAGTGCTCTCTGCCCATCACGGGATATAAATCAAAGAAGAAAGTGCAATAAAAATGTGGGCGCAACACATATATCTCAGGGTGCTAAGCAGAGAGAAAATGCAAAAGCTGCTGCTTTTCTTCCTACTTTTTCTTCATCCCACTGAGAGACATTTACCTACAGTGGAGAGGAGGTTAAAATGGTTCCTTCTCACAACCATATGTACCGAGTGTTTGCCTACAACGGAAATAGAAGGGTCCCTGAACTTGGTTTCCCATCAATGTGACGTGCGTGGGGCATTAACTTCTGGCCCCTGTTTCTTCCTCTAAGAGTGGAGATTAGCTAATAAAGTCTGACTAGGAAGGGTATAAGGCCATCACAAAACCAAAAGGGTGAACTTGACCTGTGACAGACAAAAGTGGCAGATGTGCAAAGATGACCAGAACCCTGCAGAACACCAAGGAGAAATCCTTTTAATGACAAAGGAAGGTGTTTTAATTTGGGGGTCATTTCAGAGTAACATTTAAATTATAAAGAAGGCATTACCGCCCTGGCCAGGTGGCTTTTGGTTGGAGCGTTGTTCTGTACACCACTGGAATTCTCTCCTTTGTTTGTGGCCTGAGAGACGCTTTTTGTTATGCTGATGTATCAGCATGAAAGGGTCGCCAGGTCTAGAAGGGAATTTTTGTTCAACAACTGAGACATTTTGTTCCCTGAACAACTTGGTCAGAACTGAATTGTTCAAGATGGGAGATGTTCAAGAACGAAGAGGTTTCACTGTATTCTCGTAACCACCAGATCTCTTCAGTGACTCATGGCATCAATGCTATCGCAGTCATGATGGAGATGGAGATAATGGATCATCCCAACTATTTTCTACCCTTACCAACACCCTTCAATGAAAAATCAATACACCAAGAATTCCAAACTAACTGATCCAGTCTAGTTTTCTGAGTACGTTTTTTCATTTTTTGCTTATTAGATTTACTGAATCATTGGTGTTGTCGGGGACAAAACGGTTCTCCTTTTCTCATCTAACTTAATAAACACTTATGGTTCATTTTGAATAAAGCTCAGACCTACCTTTGAAGAACCCATTATCCAGTCAGATGAGAGCCATGTAAAAAAATTAATTACAATAAATTGTGACACATAAAATAATAGAACATAGACACAAACTGCCTAAAAGACTCATGAAAGGGGCAGGAAGACAGAGTTTTAAATAACATTGGGCAATCGCCAATTATAGAAAAGGGCATTCCCGGCAAGGGGATGTGCAACAGCATGGAGGCAATAGGAAGTATGACATTTTCAGGAAATGATGAGAATGATGGCGTGACTAAAGCTACATGCTGGCGGGGAGGTGAGGCTATAAAAAGATGTAAGGTCTAGACTGTGAAGGGCTATGGAAACCATGTAAAAGTGTTTGCAGCTTACCCTGTGGATGACAGGAACTCACTGGGCATTGTACTCAGGTGACTTTACGGTATGAGTGGATTTGCATTTATAATTAAAGGCATGACAATGTGACCAGCGCACGAGATGGGGAGATGATAAAGGCAAGGAGACCAGTTAGGAAATGACTGTGGGAGTCCAGGTGAGACATGACAGGGACCTCAACTGCAGAGTAGGAGAGCAATGGAGGCGGAATAGACAGATGAGAGGTAATTCAGTGGGTGGGTTGGGTGACGGAGTCTAAGCGGGGTAAGGGAAGGGAGAGGGAGTTTCTAGTTTGAAGTAGTTGGAGTGTACCACAATTTCTATCAACATGTTGAGTTTGAGGTACCTGTTGAATTTCCAAGGATAATATGCAATACTTAGTTAGAAATATGAGTCTGATTGTTGGGGTCAGGGTGGAGCAAAAAAGGTGACTACCAGAGTCATCAGCAAGTGATGAAGATGAAGACAAGAACAGTTAAAGCCAGCAGAGACAGAGAGTACCTGGGGAGAGCTGAAGTAAGACTTAAAAGAGGCCTCAAAACAGAATTCCAAGGAACACAAAAATGCAATGGATGAGGACAAAGCAATGCAGGAGCAAAGGGAATAATCAGAGTTCAGAAAGTCAGAACAGCCAATGCCCTGAATGTCTAGGGAGAGGAGATTTCAAGATGCAAGTAATTAATAGCATGAACAGCTTTTCTGTCGGCAATAGTGAGGTGATGCTGGTCCCCAATTCTGACAGGTATACTTTACACAGTCAAATGCTTCTGAGTATTTCTTTCTCTTTCTCCTCTCTTAAAACTCTCAAAAAAGAAGCTAAAAATAGTTGTCCGGAACATTCCAGTAACTTACCATAATGTTAAGTATGTACCCAGTTGGGGGACCTTAAGAGGCAGATGTCAAGAGCTAAAAGATGCTAAATAAAGACACATACTGAGAATAGGAAAGTTTGGGCCCACGTCCCACTGGATACCTGTGAAACCAACTTGGCAGGTGCACTCGTAATCATCCTGGCTGAGCACATGGCAGGTGCCTCCATTCAGACAGGAAGGGGATGCATAGCAGGGGTGCGTGGTCGAATATTGGCAGTCCTCGCCTGTGAACCCCGGAGCGCACTGGCATGTGGCCTTCCCCAATATGGCCTGGACCACGCATGTCCCACCATTCTGGCAGCGGTTCTTCCCACAGGGGTCTCGATGTTGACAATATTCTCCCAAGAAGCCCTCTGGACATCTGTGTGGGAAAGAGAGTAGTCCATGAAAACACTTGACTTCTTATAAATAAAAAAACTTACAAGATCATGCATTCCAGTCAAGAAAGCATTAGATTGAGAATCCACAGGCCTGAAGACACAACTGCAAAACTGCCTTGATTTAGGAGAAGTGTTTAGAAAAGTTAATCACACATTCCCAAGTCCTTTTGAGTCTAGGCTGGGGACAGAATACTAGGTGGTGATTCAGCATGGTCTGCCATGGCCAGCCAACATGACTCTTATTTAAAGCAAATTACAACCAGAGATCTTTTTCCATGTACGTACAGACTGATATGGTATAATGGCACCTTTTTATGCAGCATTGTTGATACTTGTCTGTTTAAATTCCTCTCCTATTTAAAATACATAAATTACTGGACTTCCAGTCAAGATGGTGGCATAGATAAATGCAGTACCCATCCTCTCACAACCACACCAAAATTACAACTAAACTACAGAATAAACATCATTCAGAATCACCTAAAATCCAGCTGAATGGAAGTCCTACAAGCAGGGATTTAAAGAAGAAGCCATATCGAGACTGGTAGTCAGAATTTAATAAATGTTGAAATTATTATTCCTGCCACTGGGAGTACAGACTCTAGAACCAGACCACCTCTATTTCAGTCCCAGTTCCCCATTTATTCGATGAGTGATCTTGAGCAAGTTACTAAACCTACTTTGTTATAAAATGGATTTAATAATCATGCCTACCTCATCAGACTCAAATAATTATAAAGCACTAAGAATTATATCAGTACACAGCAAAACACCATGCATTTATTAAGTAAAATAAAATCACTGGCTCACTACTTCAACAACAGAACAGTCTTCAGTGTGGGCGGATCCCATTGTCAGAAAGCTCTTCCTTCCTGATGTCTTAAAACTCTTGCCTCCCTCCTAGGTATATACCCAAGGTAGCTGAAAACATGAGAAGTCCATACAAAAATTTGTAAAGACATTCGTATCAGTACTGTTCACAATACCAAAAAGTAGAAATAAATAAAATGTGGTACATCCAGACAATGGAATATTATTTAGCCAAGAAAATGAATAAAGATCCGATACATGCTATGACCTGGATAAACCTGGAAAACATCATGCTAAGTAAAATAAACCGGACACAAAGGCCACAGATTGTGAAATGTCCATTTCTATGAAATGTCCAGAATAGGCAAATACATAGAGATTAAAAAAAATACTGCAGCCAGGAGTTGGGAAGAGGAGGAAATGGAAAATGACTACTAAGGACTAGAGAGTTTCTTGGGGTGGGGGAGGAGTTAATGAAAATATTTAGAAATTAGATCATGGTAATGGTTACACATAACTGTGAATATACTAAATTGTACACTTTAAAAGACTAAATTTAATAGTATGTAAACTTTATCTTTTATTTTCCTTTAAATTCTACCTCCCTACAATTTCCACATATTGGTTATCCCTGTTAAAGGTACAAACCTCTGCTTTCTTACAGAAGCCCTTCAAGAATCCAAAGATAGTTATGGTGACCCTTTGTTTTCTTTTTTCCAGGATTCAATCTTTTGGCCTATTCCAGGGGTGGGCAACCCCTGGCACGTGTGCCAAACATGGCACGCCAGTAACTTTTGCTGGCACGCGAAACCCTCTCTTGTAATTTTCCATTTAC